AAATTCGGAAAGTTTCCTTTGAATCATATCAATTTCTATTGTTCTTTCAATTCGTGGCCATTTATTTTAATTATCCGAAATCGTATCAAAACAGTTATATAATGAATAATAAATATTTCTATATCCTATTTAACCAAAAAATTTTAGCATCATTCTGGTTTCTTTTTAAATATCAAAATTAATATTTAGTTTTTTTAAAAAGATTTGATTTGATTCGTAAAAACCTAAATTTTGTTTAAATGTAACAACTATAAATATTATATTAAATCCTAAAAATTCATAAGTGATATATATCATAAACATTTTTACAAAATCTGAATCAATGAATATATTAAAAGTTTTTAAGATATTCATGTATCATAAATTATGATTGATCTTAAAATGTCTATGATTGTTTTTTGGGACAACTGCAAAAATGCCACTTTTAGTGTGTTTATTTTCAAAAATGCCACTATGGTTTGTCCATTTGTAAAACTTGCACTAATTATGAATTTTTATGTCCTTAACAAACCCTAAACCCTCAACACTAAACCCTAATACAATATAGTTAACCCAAACATAAATGATATAATGAGTAAATAATTTTGAAAAAGTTGCATTTTTTCAAAAATTTTGAAAAAGTGATATTTTTGAAAAGTGGTATGTGAAAAGTGACATATCTCAAAATTTCTCTTGTTTTGTTTTCTATTGACTAAGTAACTAAAACACATTGTATTGAATTATTTTACAGGTAAAACATATTTTTATACAAAACAATTGCAAATTCGAATATTCTCGGAAAAGATGCCACTACCGAAGACTAGATTATGTATAATATTTTTCCTAATAACTACAATCGATTCTTAACTAAAACTGTATATCCTAGTACAACTTGTGCGACTTGACTCTGATCCCGACAACTGCTATTTATCCCTTTTCACAAACATATATGTTATACATGAAGCTATTCATTAGCCGTCTCTCTCAAGGCCGATCCTAAAATTTAGGAGGTCTAAACCTAAAAAATCATTGGTGGGATTTTAGACATATTCTCACAAATAAAAACAATGTTAAAATTTTAAAAATTTAGTAGCTCACAAATACAAAAAAGTTGGAAACCTCTATTTAATATTTGATAAACCTAAAAATTTTAGGGGGTTAAACACATGTTTCTACAAATATATAAATTTTAGGGGTTTAAACTTGTGCGACTTGACTCTTATCCTTACAGCTGCTATTTATCCCTTTTCAAATTTTGTTCTTCACCTAACTCAGTCAGTCTTGCAAGTTAAAACGATAGGCCAATCAAACATCATATTTGAACAACAACGTAAGTTCTAATATCAATTAAGCCGAAGTCATTCTAATATAAAGTTCTAAATGATCAATAAAGAAAAATGCATTAAGGGAAATATAGTAACTCATTCTCCTTCCTTGAGTTTTCAGCCCCAAACTTCTCTTCCCATGGCTTCAGAGGCATAGTGATTGGCAAGGAACTGCTCAAAAGGAAATTGGGAAAGATTATTGGAAACGGTCTTACAACCAAGATTTGGTCAGAGCCCTGGCTATCACTGACAAATCCTCTACAGCCTATGGGACTAATTCAAAAAGAAGACAACAATCTACTTATCTCAGATCTACTCATGTCTAACTCAAAGGATTGGAACCTGATGAAGATCAGAGAAACTTTGCTAGTCTATGAACATGACATCCTAAAGCTAAAACCAAGCTTACTAGGAGCTGCTGACAGGTTTGTCTGGCTTGGAACATCTTCAGGAATATACAAGGCTAGCTCTGGCTACCACACAACAAGGGAAGAGCTTAACCAACAACTATCTCCCTTCTCCTCCACAACCAAATTTTAGTTGGAATGCTGGCATATGGAACATCAAAACATCCTAAAAGATTAAGCTTTTCCTCTGGAAACTAATGGCACGAGCACTACCTTTAGGAGAACACATGACAACTAGAGGGCTAGACTAGCAAGTGCGTTGTGTCAGATGCAGGGAAACAGAGACGGCTTTGCATCTACTTTCCACTGCGACAACGCCCAATAAGTCTAGCAGCTCGCACCACTCAAGGAAGCCATCGCGTCTTGAGACTTTCCTGATATGATTTCTGGAATCTCAGCTTCAAAAACAATGATTTAGCTACCCCCAATCGGAATCACATAAACTCTCATCCTCCCCTAGATCTGTTGGAACATTTGGTTAGCTTAAAACAACCACATTTTCAACAACAGAATTTTCAGAGCGGAGGAAACCATCACTAAGGCTATCTCCGATGTACCGAAATGATCTCTAGCGCATAATTCAGAACCCAGCCAAATCAATCAAATCCCAAGCCTGCAGGCGAATCAGGCAATGGAAGAGTCCCTCAGATGCTTCACCAATGCGGCTTGGAGAAGTGACACAAAAATAGCCCGAATTTCGTGGATCATGTGAAATCAAGCAAATCAAACCATCTCCCAGGGATCGTTGACAGAGACGCATATATCCTCACCGCTCATGGTGGAGGCGACGACGATCCGGGAAGCCCTTCCACACGCGAAAAGCTCCGGATCCCGAATGTTTCGAGTAGCATCTCATCCATCTCATTAACACGAAGACTCCAAATCTAGATATCTTTGGGATCTTGGAAAACATTCACAGAGGGCGCTTGGTAACGACTGTTATTGTAAACTTTTACTTTAGACTTTTGGTTACAGAAATTTTGGCTGTAAATACTGTGTGACTGTTACTTAAAATACGAATAATCTAAATGGTAAAAAAAATTGTAGAAGCTATAACTGTTATTTTAATAATTATAGATAAATTTTTGGCAAAATTATACATTACAATTCCCGTAAAAAAATATATGAAACATGGATCTCAAAACAAAAGAAAAAAAATAATAGTAATTAATATATCAAATTCTATTTGTAACAATTTAAACATATATTTATAAAAGGTTTTTAATAAATTTGGGGAAGAAGAAAGAGAAAAATGTTATGAAATTTATTTATTTTTCTTGTTAAAGTCTTCACTGTAGCTTTAGAAAAAATTTGAAAAACAAGAGTAAAAAGGTAAAAAAGAGGCTCTCAAGACTTTAAAACAAAAAAAATGATAAAAGTTTGATTGGCAAAAATTAAATTTTAGAGGCTTTACAAATATTTACAGCATTAAAAATCTTCAACCTAGCACACCCATAAGCTCTCTCTCGATCTAGATATCAAAATCTTTGAGTTTGTTCAAAGATCAAACAATTCCGAAGCTGACGCTTAGGCTAAGTTGGTCCTCTTCAATGTATCAATTAACAACATTTCCCCGGTTTAATGAATTTAAAAGCTTTTGAACAAAAAAAAAGAAATAATATATTTGGATCATGAAGAACAACTCTAACTTATCAAGGGCGTCATTTTATTCCTTAATCATATCTATTGAACTATGAAACCCCTTTCCAACAAAAAAAAATTACGTAGACATACTTTTTGGGGGCAATGTTTTTCGAAGCAATGAGTTTTTGATGATATGATAGGTGCGATGGACGATCGATCAATTGCATCATCCCTATGCTTTCTTCGTTTATTTGGGTATTAGATTTTGACCCACGCCAAACGTGAGATTAAATAATTAAATATGTTTTAATCGAATTTAATATTTAGACGTGTATTCTAACATTTATAAACACACAAAATGATATATATTATGCATACATATAATAAAGCTAAATTTTGATCAAACATAAATATATTTTATTTTTATTATTTTTTATTTCTCCAATCTATTAAAAATAAGCATGAATTTTTTTTTGAATATTTTAATACCGCTTTTGACTCGGATAATAAAATCTAGTATTATTGAAAAGAAAATAAGATATTTTCAATTATTTTCTTTATTTTTTAAATAAAATTTTCTATATTAATTTGCACATATTCGTTATTTCCATATATTTGTTATTAAGAATTTTTAATATTTTTTATTAGGAAATGAATTCCTTAAAACCTCCTTAGGATGACACCTAAGATTTTGGGGTAATTACAAAAATGTCATTTTTTTGTGCACATTTGCAAGAATGCCATTTAGGGGTGTCTATTTACAAAAATACCACT